CTGTGCAGTATTTAGCTTCAATGAAAGTTTTTACCCCATTTAATTATCTATATTTTATAATCTTCTATAATAAAATTCAGTAACTTCAAAAGTTTCAAGCACTGCACCCAGATATGACCGGATTTTATTTGAAATGAGTAATTTAATGGATTCATATTGGTGGATCTCTGTTCAACAAGTCTTTCAATTGTTTTTAATGTTTAACTGTGGATCACCTTCATAAACAATGGTGGTTTCTTAGTATAAAGTAGACCATCAAGTATTACAGTACATTGAAGCCCACATTATAAGGTTAGCATTCTATAATATACATGTACTGTACTCTGTACTGTACTGTACTTGAAAATCTTGTTTGAGAAAACCAAGATAGAAGTAGACCAATCATATTAATATTTGACTTATAATTGTAAGATAGATATTGTAGTACCTACACATAAAAAGGGGTAAAAATTTCTTTTTTGGGAAAATTTATACAGAATTTATGTTACAGAATATGATTTGATTTTATAATCAGCAATAATAGTTTATAATACTTTGCATGTATACAAAGGTATTTGGTCTATATAGTTATTATGATAAATCCAAGAAACACCTTTGATAAGAGACATACAGATCATAAACCATGTTATAGCAAATGGTCATTTGGGATGTAATGGGATAAGGTTGTACTGTACTGTAGTACAGGAATTGTTTTTTATAATTTAAATTTTTTCATTAACTGAAAACAATTCAATTAAAGTGAGACCAGATATAGTAAAGGTAGGTTATATGAGGTACAGTACTGTATATGGCAAGGCAGAAGAAGCAGAACAAAGGATCAAGTATTTTAGAATATAAGGCACAAGAAACAGGTGGTTGCATGAGTTTGTGGAATTGGTGTGTTAACACCAAGAGTCCTGTCTCAGAGAAGATGATAAGCCAATTATCATCTAAAACTGTGATTATTATTATGAAACTCGGATTATAGCTGATATATATATATATATATATATATATATATATATATATATATATATATATATATATATATATATATATATATATATATATATATATATATATATATATATATATATATATATATATATACAGTATATATATATATATATATATATTTTTTTTTTTTTTTTGGCGGGGGGATATTGTTGATACGAATAATAGTTTTGACCTAGGAGTGTGATAAGTTAGATATGTTATATTTACAGTAAAAACTCACTACAGTACAGTAATTTGAACAACACTACATAGGGATGAGGGTGGATATAATACTGTACTGTATGAATTAAAGGAAAGAGCTATGAATGGCTTCCAGCAAATACATTATTGTAACTGTAAGTATATTGGATAGGCTTTGTACAGTATTGCATATCACTTGATTTAAAAAAATATATATAGTGTACAGTATATATATGATAAACTACCATACATGACCTCCATTAACATATGAGCCATTATAAAAACATACATGAACACATTATAAAGCACTAAAGTGAATATGTAAATACGCTGCAATATTAGATAAAAAAACATTAATATATGCTGTAGTATGAAATAGGAATTCAGTACAGGCACTCTCCAATTTACAAAGTTTCATTTTATGAAATTTGAAAATTATTTAAGAAAAAATTACCCCATGATTTGATTTATGAATGGACAACCCTAAGTTAGACTTTTTTTTTTTTTTTTTTTAAGTACTGTACGAAGGAAAATACAGTACAGTATAGTCTGGATTTACGCGGTTTTTGTTTACGCATTTGGTCATTTACGCGGTGCCTTGCCAGAATGGAATGTTTTAATTACGTGGTAAATTTCACCATTTACGCGGGAAGGTGCGGGCAGGGTGCGCACAAGGTCGCCCAGTCATCAAAACATTCCCGAGTTCTTCACCCACCACCCACCACAGCCGGCCCAAGTCAGTGATAGTGAGGATATGGACTATGAGGGGTTTGACAAAGAGGCCCTGCAAGCCTCTGTGGTGGATAGTGATTCAATTGATATAAGTGATACAGTTGAGGGCCAATAATCTGCCCTCTGCCTCGGAACCAACTCCCTCCCCATCTCCGTGTACCCAGTCATCTCTTCTACTAACGTAAGTGTTAAAAAACCTAATATTATTGATATTTCTCTTAAATATTAATTGTGTGTGCATACCATCATAAAATTAAGATGTTATTTTTACTACAACGTACGTACGTATTGTGTCGGAAAATGTGGAGTTTGGGAGTCGGCCCAGTCTCTATTTCAATTAATCCCATATGTTCTGTTATTTCGTTTACACGTTTCTCGTTTTACGTGGACCTCCACGAGTTCAATTGACCGCGTAAATGCAAACTATACTGTATATTGAAATAATGCAGTTTTTTACTGCCAGTATGCTTACTTATTTCATTATTTTAAAACGCTTGCAATGTGTTTATGTCTATAATCAAGTTTTCCTTCTGTCATAATTCTCCTACAATATCCGCGTTACTTCCTCCTCAAACTCGCTGGAAACAAGTAGTTTTCTTTTTCACCAGTACATTACTCAACCAGTTGCCTGATAGTCCAATTTCTCCTCATTTTCTCTCATGTAATTCGGTATGTGGAAAACTATACAGTATATACGGTATAATAAAATTATTTTGTATCCTTAAATTAATTAAGCTAATTATGTACAATTAAGGTGTAGAGTTGTATGAGAAAGTGGGGAATTTATAATTGAACAGAATTTGGGAGGTGTGGATATTGCTGGCAATGCATGAGAGAGAACATGAGTGTAGCTTGAGCTGACTGTGGCAACATTCATGCAATGTAAACAAAGCAGTGGGAATTGAGTACGACACAGTAACTCACCAGGGATTACATATCTCTAATTATTACATTGAATGAATAAATGTATTACTACAGTAATACATGTACGTACGTATATGGTATTTCAAATAGATATTGGCTTCGTGTTTCATATTGTTCACTTTATTTCAAACCTCATCAAACTTATCATACATACAGGTAAATAATTATTACTTTACTGCACTGTGCTGTACTGCACTTATTTTACTTATTACAGTATGTGTAATACAGGCATCCCCCGCTTTACGGAAGGGTTGCATCCCTGGAAAATTGACCGTATCGCGAAATTCCGTAACGCGAAACCCATTTTCCCATGACTTCTATTATAAAACTGGAGAAGCGTTCCTAATGAATTTTTTTCGGACCAAAAAAAGTAATTCAAGCACATTTATGAATGAAAATAAACATTTATAAACACATACAATTCAGTACATTAAATAATTTATGATATAACCTTCTTAAACATCGTTTAATATCCAATGTAATGCCTTTGCGGCTTCTTTTTGCACTACTGCGGTCACTTCCACTTGATGGCCTCTTTCCAGTCATCTTGAATAAGGGTAATGCACTGTACTGTACTTACTGTATGTTTGTAAAAGTTAAATCCAACTGCTGGGGCGAGAAACATGCGCGCACACTGGATGTAAACAATGGACTGACTCCGCGTGGCAATGCCACGCTTGGCGGTAGCAAACACCAAGAAATCAACACCAAACAAATTATAATTTTGAACAAAAAAATTTAATTTTATATAGTGATATATTTTTTTTATTTTTTATTATTGTTAAAATTTACCCCAATTTCTGTAAGGGTGGATTTACGGGTCATATTGCGAAATTATTGGTCATAATTTAAAAATTCCGTAAGAGCGAAATTCCGGAACCCGGGGTTCCGTAACGCGGGGGATGCCATTATTGGATTATGATCATTGTGTACACAAAAACTGTCATTAAAACATGTTTTGTGGCAAACAAAATGATAATTCCTTATACATTTACTCTCTCTCTAATAGTAGTCTAGGGGAAAATGTGCTCCGACTTATTTTAACATTATTTACGAAAGGTTTTAGAAACGGAATCTTTTCATAAATTGGGGAATGTCTGTGCACTCAGAACAGAGACTGAAAGCAGTAAAAAAAATTCAGTGGCTGCATTGTTGTGTATGGGCAGTATGCCTTTAGGTGGCAGGAGTACTGTACTGTATTGGAAATCCAAAGTACTGTACTGTATATAAAATGCAGTACTGTATCTGTTAAAGAAAGAACAATACTGTACTGTAATACACAGTAATAGAATGAGTTTACTGTATAGAAAATATAGTACTATGGTAATGGATGCAGCAATACAACTTCAGATTCACTAAATCTTTTTAGTACAGTACTGTCCATTAAAAGCAATAATATGAAAGAAGGAGAAGAAAAGTGATGTTTTTATGCAGCCCAACTTGGCCTCATTGAGCTGACCAGCAGCTGCCTCCCTCACCTGGTCATACTGATGTAATGAAATCAGGGGCACTTGAATAAGTGAAATTTAACTAATTAATATTTGTACATACAGCATAAGAAATTACTGAATGTTATATAACAGGGCATACTGTACTTATTTTTACATTGTCAGAGCAATAATGAATATTCCACACTGTACTGTAATAGCATAATGCACTAAAAGAGTACCACATGATTTTTTTTATTATTATTCTGATACTAGAATGTTAAAACTGATTTTTTTATGAACAGACTTTTGTCATAATTAAGTTAAAAATAGTAAATGTACTGTACATTACTAAGTAATTTAAGCAGTGCAGTGGCTAAGTGGATACAGCACTTTCCTTCAATCCTTAGGGTCACTGGTTTGTGTCTAGGGCACCTCCATTTTC